ACTTGCCCCCAATTTCCAGTGCCCCTGGGTCTAGGGTATCGATCAGAATCCTAGAGACTGCGGCCTGCTTCCCAGAGAACGGGTTGCAGCTCTCACTCACATCCGAGAGAAAGCAAGACAAGTCCAGAACCCACCGCCCGCAGCTCACTGACAGCTGAAAGACAGCGGTCAGCTCAGGACCAGCGTGGTGAGAGCACGGAGCCGGCCCGCAGCAGAGCGGCCGGTTTATCCTCAGCTGGAATGAGAAGTTCCCTCAGGGTGCTGCCAGCCCCTCTAACTTGGCTGCTTGACCCTAGGGAGAGCAAGCCGAGAGTCTCCCTGGAGTCCCTGTAGAGGCTTGGCAGAGAAGCTACCTGTGAGGACCCCCCCACCCTGGGTTCATGGCACCCACTCTGCTCCCTCCAAACGCGAGCCACTTGTGCCCCTTATGCCCACGGTGGGGGCACCCAGCAATTTACAAAGAAGGGAGGCCAGACAGGTGGGCAGTAACTGCTCTCGGTGCGGTGCCCGAGCCAGTGGGAGATCATCGGTCCTACTAGCACCCCCTCCTCCTGAGAGGAAGGGACAGACTCGTCCTCAATCCTCCTCCCTCTGTGGAAGGGCCCCTTCCTCCCCTTATAGTCAGTGGGGTGGGGCCTGTATCAGAGGTTGGGGGGGCAATGAAGAAGGAGATGGGGAGAAAGTCTGGCTGGGCCTCTTCCCCCAGAGGGGTTTGGGTGCCAAGGCTCCCACAAGAACACTTGCTATGCTGCCGGGATACAGGTCTCTCCTGTCTGCCCCCTGGACTTCAGCACTTACCCTGCTCCACCTGTTGCCAGGATCACCTCATTCCTGCTCATCACTTCGGTGTAGCTGAGGGGGGACCACAAGCCCCTCCAAGCCTCTCTTTTGTGGTTCCATCGAGGCGGTCATCCTTCATGTCTTCTTTTCCAGCTTTCGGGACGCAGTTAGGGAATGTATGATGAAGCAGAAATGAGCCGTCAGGATGATATTTTAATGGCTTGTATGTCACGTTGGTGCATGTGGCTTTGAACTGGAGCCGCTTGCGTTTCCTGCAGAGAGCGCCGCAAATCCCACTTGATAACTTCTACAACCCACAACTTTTTTTTTCCCCTCACATTCAGTCTTACCCTGTATATTTGGACGGGTTTCCTAAAAATACCCTCTTGTCAATGTCCCTGTTGGATTTTCCACAGACTGGAGAAGAGAAGACTGACTTTTCTGTTTTGAAGAATTATTTTCCCTCCCCCTCCAATGGCTAACCTTCCCCCTCAGGTCCCCTCCCTTGTTTTTTTTTTTTTTTTTAAAGAAAGACAGGCGAGGTAGGTTCAATATTTGTTCTCCCTAGTGACAGCGGTAGTGCAGCCTCTAGAGAAAACTTCTTTTTGAATATAAGGTTTTCAGAATTCTTCCCACTGGAGGTACAAGAAATAATTGGGTGTCTCTAATATTTCTTTTTTAAATAAGCAAAATATAATATATTTTTAAACATGCTCAAAACCTTTTCCTCCACTCCTCACTGGTTTCCATTAAAAGTTAGTAGAAAATTCTGGGCTGCTACACTCAGACTTGTTGCTGGGGACAGAACATTTATAATTTTTTTTTTTACACTTTCTAGAATTTGCATCCCCCAGCACAGTTATTCAGCCAGATCCTTTTAGGATCTGGAAACCACAAGGAAACCATCTGAAACACAGAACCCGACTTCTAAGTGGACAGAGTGTAGGCAAAGGGCGGCCCAGCTTGACATCCCCAAACCAGAACCTAGTCCTGGAGAAGACCTGGAAAGCAGAGAGGCAAGGAATGGCCACTGCGGACTCTGCCTTCCTCTGAGCCCGGGAAGGCAGAGCTGGCGACGGGGGACAATTCATTTTCAGTTCGCTCTCGGCAGGGCACTGGTGAGTTTCCTAACCAGGCCGGCCCGTGAAAGGATGAGTTGAGGTTTCTTTGTCTGGAAAGAGAGTTTAGGGCTCTGATTCAGCTGCAAAGAAGCCAAATGAAGTTAGAAACAAAGGGCAAATTGAAGGATTCCGACTCTTGGCTTTTTGTGTTTTCCTTACTAGAAAATAATTAGACCTAATGAATATGCAGACACTTCGGCTAAACCGTGGGCTGAGCTGCTGGGTTTTAAACAGAGCTGAGGAGAAATGCAACCCTCATTCCCCACCCCCCTACATCTTTGTGCATTTTTTGAAATGCATAAATGTTGCTCGGTTTAATTGATTGAGTCACAGGGATTTTTTTCCCTGCTTTTAAGTGCCATACTCCTCTACCTTTCAACAATCATTTTAATATATAGTCAATGGCTCTTTGTGGATGGGACAAAAAGCAACTACGCGCAGTTTTTGAATAGACTTTGCGCTGGGCAAAGACAGGTTAATCGAGGGCCGCATCGCGAAAACAAGCGAGTGTTGTATGTTTGCACTGAATCCAAATGTCTGCATTTTCCTAACTAAATCAAAGGGAGTGTTATTTCTTTTTCTGCTCACTCATCTGAAGGTAAGTAAATTTTCTCTGGCGATCAAAAGCCTGGTCGGCAACAAAGACCGCGCCCGCTTTTTCCACCGTCCTGGTGTGGCGAGTTGCGGAATTTCAATAACTGTGACAAGGGTGACTGATTTGTGAACTAGAAAAGGTTTGAATGTCACAAAATTTACATTGGTCCTATCTATCGGGGATTTAAATACCAAAAAAGTATTCGGGGGATTTCTAGGGAGCTTTGGGTAGCCCAGACGAACAATGGCGCGTTGGGAAATTTACAGTTTTACCTGAATGAAAAGGGCCCGGGATGGGAACAGAAGTGCAGAGGGAGGGGTTAGCGAGGGCAGCCAAAGGAAAAGGGGGGATGGGGGCAGGAGGAGGGGGAGAGAGAACATTTTTAGTTTTCCATTAAACAAAAAAAAAACAATAATCCAGAAAGTTAAGAGCTCTCTAGTCCACCTGTGTGCGTATGGGGGGGGGCAGCGCCTACAAGAAGCCCGCCTGATTTCATAAAAGTGAGAAAAACTGAGGCTACCGGTTTCACTGAGAGATCATATTTCTCGTAAAGAGAGTGGAGTTCCCTAGTGTTCCCGAGATCTTAAATTATAAACAGGAGAGGGACCAGGCAAGAAGGAAGCAAACTTCAAAAGAAGCAAATAACAAAAGCCTCCTTTGCTGCCCTTGAAGGGGGGAAAAGGGGAAAAGAAAGAAGAGAAAGTTGCTGAATCGGGACGTTCTGGAAGTGCCTTTGCTGTGTTTACTACCCCGGTTCACGCCTCCGGCTCTCAAAGACGCCCGAAGTCTCTACCCTCTAATCGCTCAGCGGTTAGGGGGGCGCAAGGGAGAGAGAAGGCGGGGGAGAGGAGAAGGAAGGGGGGAGGGAGAGGAGAGAGAGGAGAAAAGGGGAAGACAGGAAGAGAGGAACAGAGGTAGAGAGAGAGTATGACTAAGAGACTATGAGAAGGAAAAAGAATCCTGCCCCCCCAAAAAAAATTCCGTGAGAAGAGGGCAAAAAAATTTGTCTAAAAAAAAAAAAAAGTTGCTACTCCTGGCAGCTCTGTTTGTCAAAAGGGGATGTCAAG